CCCTCTGCTTTGACATTTCTTCAGCTTGTTGGATCTTCACAACAATTATACAAGAAATGATTACACTGTATGGTAGAGTTGCGTTGCCGAAAAACATTCATCACATCCTATATAGACGACTCCGCACTCGCCAACTCAAATCTCTTCTTCCTCCTCCGACAAACTTTTAACTACGTAGCTCTTCTCCATAACCTCGAATTCTTTCTTAGTCTCCATAAATGCTTCTTTATGCCTTCTCAACGCATCCGCTCTCTCGGCTTCAAAATTGACTCTCACGATAAGCGCATCAATGACAAAGCTCAAAAGATCCTCAACCTCATCCACTTATCATACTCCAATTACAACTCAAGCCGCACACTCGCAAAGTTAGCCGCCAAGCTCGCCTCACTTTCAAAAATATTCATGCCAACCTTATTGTTTCTCTCCTCTCTATACGATGCAATAACCCCCTCAAACTGAGATTTCCCACTCCTCGTCACCAACGAACTCATTTCCGACCTCCTACAGTGGCTTCATCACCTCCCTCATCTTCCCCGAAGAATATGGACATCAAGAACCACTACCCTAACTATTCTCACAGACGCTTCGACGAACAAAATCGCTGACTTAATCTACCCATCCCAAAGCGAAACAATCACCCTCAACCAATGTCTTTTAGAAAATACATGAAAACTTCCTATTTTTAGCCTCCACCTACCTCCATCTGCTTTTTTCAACCTCCATCAGACTACATTCCGATAGCCAGTCTGCCTCAACCTTCATCACCCACATGCGAACAACCGAACCTTCGTTCAATCACGGACTTCAAAACATTGCTTTCATCCTTATACGTCATGACACATTACTCAACCTTGTCTGGATCCCCAGATCTCCCAATTCGCTAACAGATGTCATCTCCAAAATAGAAGACAATACGGACTGCGGTCGTGCACCCCACCTAAGATCTCTAATCTTCGCAGAATTGGGTTTACCGGCAATCGTCCTCTTCGCTTCTAATTACCATCACGTTTGCCTCACAGTCATCTCCCAAACCTGGTCAACTAAAGTTTCTCAACTTGACGCTCTTTCCTTGGACTGAAACTTATTACCATCCCTTCCCTACAGATGGATCTTCCCACCCACTTCTCTACTACATCCTATCCTCTCAAAGCTTGTCGTGGCCCCGACCTACTATCTCCTTATTCTACTTGGCTTCACATGAACAACATGCTAATGGTACCCAAGAATCCTCTCCCTAAAAATCCTCAAACACTTCACCACACCCCAATCCACCTTTCATTGCCTTCCCATCCCCCGAGTCCACCACTTTGCCACCAACCCCGCTCTCTTGCACCTCGCTGCTATTTTTCTTTATTCCTAACTCAACCGCCTCCGTTCCCCCCCCCCCCCCCCCCCCTTTTTTTTTTTTTTTCCCCCCCCCCCCCCCCCCCCCCCCCCCCCCCCCCCCCCCCAACTCGCTTCCATTCTCGCTTCATTCCATATCCATATCACATAAACGTACCTACACTCCGCCACGTCCCCTAGCGCATCATTTCTTCCAAACTCCATCCCTCTTCAATTCCGGCTTGCATTCCCCCTATTTGGAAACTATATCCACTCTCCCTCTCATAAATTTCAACTTCACCAAACCACTACTCTATCCGTTTATTAAAACTACCTCCACCTAAGGGACCAATACCCCTCATCGACCAAAAGATATATCCAACCTTTATATCCTGATCCAAATACGCATAACTTTCGATCAAACTAGATAACCACACCCACAAATGTATCTCTCTCTTCCCTCGGATCCTTCAATTGTATCATGAACCTTCCTACATTTCGATCTGTCTTCGTATAAATTGGACGCACACTCTTCCTGCCTATGTTTATCTCTCTATACTCTAATATTAAACCCTCCCGACAACATTGTCAACTCTCCCATAGATATAAAAACAACCCTCTATCTCGATAAGCATATGCCTCTAGATACCCTTTTAACGTTTTTACTTTCTCCTTCACGAACTCTAGTACAATCTTTAATTTCTCCCATCGCAATGGAATAGCAGATTCCTCTAATATTCCCCACTCAAGAGCATACTCGCGATAAGCCTTCCTAAATGCCTTAACCCTGCTACTTTGGCAAGGATCATCCATCCCCTCCCTCCCCAATAACTGAAAGCAACCACTTAAGCAATTCACAACATCATCAACCGTCGATGAAGATACCATGGAAGCACCCTCGAAGTCCAAGGATCGGCAACGACCTTCAATCTCAACCATATATTGACTACTAAGAAAAGACATCACATCAAGATAGGTGCACGTCATACAACTTCGTTCAATATTGTTCCCCTCCAACCACTCGTTCAACGCTACCAGCATTTTCTTCATTTCGCTTCTCCATCGATGACCAACAACTTATTTAAGACCTGCCATATGACCACCTTCAACTTCCGGCGTCGACCGCTTCTTCCTCCAGTTGTCACCGCTCACGAGCTTGTTCCACTATTCCCTGCAAAACGACGACGTCACTTGCGGGGACGATGAAGGGTGTTGGGTGGTTTAGGAATAGTGTGGGTTTGCGACCCATCTCCCCGACTCGCCTTTGCAATCTGACATCATCATTGAACTTCCTTTTTCCCATTTTATCTGGATCAGTACAACATAGCATTGTGTTTGTGTTTCAAGCAATGCGGTCACATCCTATCCCAACGGTCCTGGTAACACCAACAAAACCATTACGGTTGGATCATATACAACTACCGGGACCACATTTGGAAATACTTGGTACTATTCCCACGCTCTCACACAACGAAGATCTTTCCCATCTATGACCAAGACTTTATTTCCTTTTCGATTCTTTTTATCATCACGACAATCCAAGGATGCGGACAAGCAACTCATCATCAATGGTGTAAAGGGTGACAAGACACATACCCAGGTTGCAGGACGATGTCGTTGCTTCGTGCAGTCCCACTAGCTTGCCCGGTCACAGTATAAGTCACTGGAGTCTGACCATCCAGCACAGTTTGCGAAGCCTCTCGTGTCGTGCCCTCCAGTGCACGACCACTTGCTGTGCTCATAGCATACGCGAACTTGCGTGCACATAGCCAGCCAGATCGCATTCAGGCTGAGTTATTTCCTCGCTGATTTTGCCGAAGTGGTCATGCCCGTCCTCGATTATCCCGCGGTTTGCGGTCCTGCGGCCAATCGCCCCGACTCGCCTTTTGCAATCTGGCATCATCAGCGAACTTCCTTTTTCCTATTTTATATGGATCAGTATAGAATAACACTCTCCCACATGCCACAACCCATTCGTTCGGATACACTGACACTCGTGTTGGCTAAATACGCCAGTAATACCGACCGGGGGGGCTAAGTCGCCTATCTCATCTCGTTGGCACCAAAGTGTGCCCCAAGTGGCTGAGGGGTTGAACCCACAATCTCTTAAGTGCCACTTGCTGCCTGGTTGTCTTGCCCTTAAAATTGACTTACCGTGAGGGCACGGGTGCATAGCCCGTAGTTTGTTTGTTGACGTGGTTCGGGAAGGGTAAGGTAGTGATTATGCTGTATGTATGTTTTGTCACGTTCGCTATACACAAATCGAAGAGAGTGTGTGTGTGGGGTCCCGGTTGGTGCTTTATTCACGATGTTCATGGGACGCCGGACCCAGTTTCCAGCAGGTGGCGCTCCACATCAGTAGACAGGAGAATGTGTGTGCATATGTGTGTGTGTGTGTGTGTGTGTGTGTGTGTGTGTGTGTGTGTGTGTGTGTGTGTGTGTGTGTGTGTGAGAGAGAGAGAGAGAGAGAGAGAGAGAGAGAGAGAGAGAGAGAGAGAGAGAGAGAGAGAGAGAGAGAGAGATGCAACGTGCAGCATATCAGTGGCGGGGAGCACAAGGCACTGACCTCCAAAAAAATAAAAATAAAAAAATTATTGGAATACAAGACTTTTTTCTTTTCGAAATCCAGCGAGTGATTGTGGAGAGAGAGAGAGAGAGAGAGAGAGAGAGAGAGAGAGAGAGAGAGAGAGAGAGAGAGAGAGAGAGAGATGCAACGTGCAGCATATCAGTGGCGGGGAGCACAAGGCACTGACCTCCAAAAAAATAAAAATAAAAAAATTATTGGAATACAAGACTTTTTTCTTTTCGAAATCCAGCGAGTGATTGTGGAGAGAGAGAGAGAGAGAGAGAGAGAGAGAGAGAGAGAGAGAGACCTGCAGCATGCAGCATATCAGTGGCAGGGAGCACAAGGGCAGACGCTGACCTCCCAAAAAAAAAAGCAATTTTATTAGAATACAGGAGTTTTTTCTTTTCGAAATCCGAATAAAAGGGGTACACGTTGTATTCAAGTACAACGGGTACATGGTTCTATTCGATGTTCTCTGTTATTCGAGAAAAGTGGAGCCACGCCGTTTCAACTTCGAAAAAGGTTTCGGAAAACCGCGGCCTCCTCAGCTGCCCGTAGAAGGCCTCCTACGGACAGCTACCGGTCCTACGTGGTCCTGGCCCTTGCAAGGCCCCAAAACCTCAAAATGCCCACCCTCCCGGCGACCACCGACGTTGAAATTTGATCGACGTTGAAATGTCTCGGGGGGAAAAACGCACCCCTGACGGGCTGTGAAAAAAGAAGGTACGGAGAATCGCTGCCGAGGTTCTGGCGGGAGCGCCGTGAGAATCGCACGCGCGACGATTCGAAGTTACCTGCAGTTTGTCCTTAAAGCGGTTTACCGTATCAGTTCCCGAGCTAAGCGACGACGACGATGCCCGCGCCATGTCTGTCATGCTTCCTCCGTACTGAATGAACTGACAGACATACGGGACACATTACCATCGTCGTCCGCATTATAATCGTCTTCAGGGGCACCTTGGTCTTCTGACCTACGCTGCGCTCTGAATGGGACACAGATGGACACAAGAAGGGTACGGGGAAAATGTGACGGAAAAGGCTCGTCGATTGGGGCAGAGCATGTATGGTTGACAGGCGTTCGTATGCGCGGGGAAGAGCGGAATCGGAGTGCGCCTGAAGGGCTCATGAGATGACGAAGTGATGGGGAGAGGTTGGTCATATAGGTGGTACCGTAATGTTTTGGCTGGGTTGAAGAGAGAATACGCTAAGCGGTTTGCTCGAAAGAGATGGACCAGAGGGCAGTCGTTGTTCGAAGTGAATCGCACCGGTAGTCGATCCGCTACTGATCTCAACATCATTGGAATCCGAGAGGTTATAGCCGACGTTGACCCGAAGATGGTCGCAGGCGATGTGATTTGTTATCTGCTCGGGCACATCAGATACACCCTGCCGTCTCTGACCTTCAAGGTGAACTCTTCTTTTCGCCAACCTCTCTCTCTCTCTCTCTCTCTCTCTCTCTCTCTCTCTTTCTGATTCGTCATCTACTCGCGCACAGATATGCCTTGCCGTCTTGACCTTCTAGGTGAACTCTTGTTTTCGCTAACCTCTCTCTCTCTCTCTCTCTCTCTCTCTCTCTCTCTCTCTCTCTCTCTCTCTCTCTCTCTCTCTCTCTCTCTCTCTGTCTCTCTCTCCGCGCGCGCTCGCGCCCCTGCATATGCTTGTGTTATGTTCTGTATCTGCCTCTGTACCTTTGCTGTCTGCATGGCTTGATTGTCTCTATCTGTCCGCCGTGGATGTCCGAGTCGGTCTGACAGTGACACATTGATCGGTCCCCTCCAGTCACTGTGTTTAGGAAATTAATGCTTCGCAATAATTAGTCGGGAGGTGTTTTGTTCTCTCTCTCTCTCTCTCTCTCTCTCTCTCTCTCTCTCTCTCTCTCTCTCTCTCTCTCTCTCTCTCTCTCTNCTCTCTCTCTCTCTCTCTCTCTCTCTCTCTCTCTCTCTCTCTCTCTCTCTCTCTCTCTCTCTCTCTCTCTCTCTCTCTCTCTCTCTCCCCCCGACAAACACACTCGACATGCATCGGAAAGAAAAGAGTACGGAGGCGGTAGAGACGGGGCGGGAAATCGGACTCCTCTCTCTGTCTGTGTCTCTCTCTGTCGGCGTCTCTCTCTCTATGTGTCTCCCTCTCTCTCTGTGTGTCTCCCTCCCTCTCTCTCAGTCCGACAAACACACTCGACATGTATCGGAAAGAGAAAAATACAGCATCGGTAGCGGTGGCGGGAAATCGGACAGGTGTGTGAACAGAAATATTGCGAAGGAGTTGATGAGGGCAAACGGGCGAAGAGCAGCAGAAAGAGAGTCGAAGACAGAAAGTATGCCGGGTGCTCAGCACCCGAGTTTATATAGTGAATAGGGGGGAGGGGGAAGAGAAGACGAATATTCAAAGAAGAAAAGAGGATGAGTAGTACGAGGAAGAATAACAAGAAGAGGAAGAAAGACCAAGAAGCTGAGAGTTATGTAGTATAGCATACGAGGCGAGATAGAAGAAGATGAAACAGCAGCCATGAATGACGCCAGTGAATGCGAGTGCATCACCCAGCGTTTTTTTTTTTTTTTTTTGGTTGCAATAATCCCAGAAATTTGTCAAATCTGAGTTGAAAACGTGTTTGTCCGTCCCACGTCTTCGTCTTAGACCAACGGCGACCGAGAAGCTGTGACGCGATCGAGTCGACGGGACAGTGAAGCTGCTGTGGTACCTCTGGAGGTGAACCGGGGTTTTGGGCCGACTAGGCATCCGGTGAGTAGGGCCATCAGCTGTCGGAAGACTAAACCAGGAATTGAAAAGGGTTAATTTCAAAAATATTTGCTGCCAAACTTCGAAACAGCAATATTTTTGCTATTAACCCAATTGAAAATCCCAGAAAACGCCGAAGGCAGATGCGGCGGGGGAGGTTTGACCATAACCTGGACCGTGGAAGCGAAGCTCGGTGGAGGTCAGAACTTGCTGGATCGGATGGACCGATGGCCGTCGGATGTGTACCGCCAACGACCGTGCTTCACCATGTGTCGTCTGACTCCCTCAAGTCGATGGGAGGAATTGGACACGTAGAAACTAAAGTCTTGAAGCAAACAGGGATCGAAGAGTTTGTGGATTGACTTCCATCTGATTGGTCGCTTCGTCGGCTGTGGGNAATTGGACACGTAGAAACTAAAGTCTTGAAGCAAACAGGGATCGAAGAGTTTGTGGATTGACTTCCATCTGATTGGTCGCTTCGTCGGCTGTGGGTCTGTGTCTTCTGCCTCTGTCCTGTCGCGAGCAGGCGCATGGCAAGAGAAAGGTAGAATCATAGAATCATACACGCACGCAACGACCCCCACACTGACCCAACCACACACACACACACACACACACACACACACACACACACTCATAGTCACGCACACACCCACATACACACCCAGACACACATCATCACACACACGCACACGCACACGCACACGCACACGCATACGCACATGCACACGCACACGCACCACTGTTGAAGTGCCGCAAACTAGCACACGCAGCACAGTTAAAGGCACGCAAACTCACACGGTTTTGTCTCTCTCACACACACATAAACACGTGCACAACACACAAACACAAACACAAACACAAACACAAACACAAGGCACACACAAACGCACACGGATGGACAGACACATCGTCACACACACACACACACACACAAACACACAAACACACACGCACACACACACACACACA